CGTTCGGGACACATTTGCTGAAGCGGGATATTGAACACATACAATGTTTCTATTATTATTTTGACTCATATTTAATGACTTTCGGAGATTTTATAGAAGAGAAGGAGCGCGGCGGGCGGGACGGGATTTTGCTTCCGTTTGATCTGCTGTGTGGGGTCCTCTCTGTTTTCTCTGGTGGTGGGCAGCCGTCAATGCTGCAGAGAATGGCTGACGTTCCCATGTAAGCGCCAATCTGCAGTATTGTACTGGAGACCCGGGCAGACCTGATGACACCCCCTCCCCAGGGGAAGTGTCCATGATGACCTGGGCTCATAGGAAGTCCTCCCCATTCTCTGCAGTATTGTACTGAGGACCCAGGCCGATCTGATGACCCCCCACCCCAGGGGAAGTGTCCATTTTTGGTAGAGAGTGGGCTTTAAAGTCAGGTTTTACCCGCTCACCATGGCACCGTCCTTCTTGTACTCACTTGGAGGTGTTCCTCATACAGTGCGGTGAAGTTGGCTTCCTCCCCAATTCAGTCCTGAACATTGTCTCTGCGCGGTCCGCCGTCTGCTCGCCGCTCACCAGCGCTGACCGAGGCCGGGGGGATATCGGGGTGGACGGGGGAACTCAAGCCCTCAAAGAGGAAGTACTCAGCGTTACTGTAGCTGCCACAACATATGCTGGCGGGTCGTCTCCTGGAAGAAGAAAGACAATAAAAATATCTGATCACCGGAAGATCCAACAGGGAAGTACTGGGGGGGTGCAGCCTCCATATCTAAGGACTAGAGGACTGGATGGGGCGGTGCAGCCACTATATCTAAGGACTGGAAGGTCCTTAGATATGGTGTCCTTAGGGGGATAATGCAATTACTATATCTAGGGACTGGAAGGTATGAGGGGGGGAGGGGGTGACATTGTTTTTTGTTGTCTCCTTTTGTAGTTTGTTATATAACCAGATATTCAAAACTAAGAGAAAGTGAAGAATAAATCCACAAGGTGGCGCTAATGGACCGCTCCCAAATCCCGATATCAGCGTACAGAATACCAACCCGACAGACAGACGATTGTATCCAATTCCTGTGAATATCGAAGAACTAGTGGCCTAGAGCCTTGGTTCTCAACTGGTGGGTCGGGACCCAAAAGTGGGTCGCGACCCCATGTTCAGTGGGTCGCCGCATGCCTTCCACTTTTCTAGGTGAGAATCTCCTCAGACTCCCCCTAGCGCAGCACCGTCACTTCTCGAGCCGAGCGGCCATTCAAAATACTGCCCGGCCCTGCACGTCAGCATTCCATTGGGTCACGACTAAATGGCCAAGGACAAATGTGGGTCCGGAGGTTACACAGGATCAGAACCACTGGCCTAGAGGACTAGTGCCCCATGTTGGAAGATTTCCCAGGCTTGTTTGCCCCTTTGCAATAGCAACAGTTAAGTTATGGAGGAAAAAAAAAAAAAAGTAACAAATAATAAAAGAAATAAAAGTAAAAAATAATCAAATAAAAAAATAAAAATAGTAATAAG